CACACACACACCCACACACCCATAGCACACTCACACGCCCCTCATCCACAACCACACATACCCTCACACGCACAGGTCACCACATACACACCCACGAGCACGCACACACAGGCACAATCACACACACGCGCACTCACAGCGGAGTGCCAGCCACCAGGTCCCCCTGCAAGCGATCCGCGCGTGATCCGCGCGCACATCTCGCACAACCACCTACGCGCCATCACATACACACAGGCACAATGCACACACACGCGCACATACACCGGACTGCCAGCCACCAGGTCCCCCTTCGGACGATCCGCCCATGATCCGCCCGCGCACCTCGCACAAACACCTACGCACACACACAGACACTACGCACACAACCCACAGCCAACACACTGGGAACCCACGGACTTCTCCAAGGTTCAAGGGGGTCCCCACCGTCCGAAGAATTGCCCCTCCACAGCCCATGCACGGTCGCCTGTAGACAAAAGCCACTCACATACAAGCATACACATACGCACACCCACATGCACGCACACACACACCCACACACCCATAGCACACTCACACGCCCCTCATCCACAACCACACATACCCTCACACGCACAGGTCACCACATACATACCCACGAGCACGCACGCACAGGCACCATACCACACATACGCGCACTCACACCGGAGTGCCAGCCACCAGGTCCCCCTGCGGGCGATCCGCGCGTGATCCGCGCGCACATCTCGCACAACCACCTACGCCCCATCCCATGCGCACAGGCACAATGCACACACACGCGCACATACCAGCCACCAGGTCCCCCTTCGGACGATCCGCCCATGATCCGCCCGCACACCTCGCACAAACACCTACGCACACCTCGCACGCACAGACACTACGCACCCAACCCACAGCCAACGCACTGGGAACCCACGGACTTCTCCAAGGTTCAAGAGGGGCCCCACCGTCCGAAGAATTGCCCCTTCTCCGTGCGTTGGAATGTGTCAGGCGACCCTGATCACCATGCCACGCTGTCGTTGGACTCAGCGTCTTTCTTCCCCGGGGCATCATCTTTCCTCCGTAGCCGTCTGGGCCCAGACGGTACCATGTTCTCTGGGTTGCGGAAGGTTGCTGGCGGGGCATGGCTCCTCCCTGGCTCTGCAACTGCGTTTCTCACAAGTCTGCAGTGCCGTCGCACACGCTACACGCGTTGTGCTGGCGACGACGGCCAACCCTCTCAAGTGCACAAACGACCCGCTGGCCGTGGCCGACCCAGCGCTGCCGAGCTGCATTGCTCCCGCTGTGGCCTCGACCTTCCGCGTGAGAGCTTCAGCCAGTACCAGATCTACCGACCGACTCGAGCATGCCGCACTTGCACAGCTAGTGCTCCCCAAGCGTCTGGCCAGACCCGCTCCCGCCTGGAGACCACCTGCGCCCAATGCGGCCTCACTGTGCCCAGTGACACGCTCGCCCACCACCAACGATATTCAGGGGGAGTTTGCCGGGAGTGCGCCACGAACGGACGCCCAACTTATGACGACAAACCCTTCGTAGTAGGCGACATGGCCCGCATTTGCCCGCACTGTTCAGCACGGCTCTTCCCTTGCGAGCCGTGCACATTCTGCTGCAATAGCGGTAAATGGGCAGTTCCCTTCACCGACTTCTTCCCCTTGCCTTCCCCTGCTCTTCTCCGCGTGCATCAATCCACGTGGCCTGCCACCGACGCAAAAGGACATCCCATCCACGACGCCGCTACGGACACACCCCGCCTCACGGGCTTCACAGCTGTCAGCCGCCGCTATAACAATTTATTCGCTTTGGCGGTACACGAGATTCAAAGCGCCGGTACCACCAAGGAGCTACGGTTCGGAAACTATTTGCGCCCTTCCAACTTACGCATACATGGCACCATGTACCGACGCCTACTCTCAGCGCAAGACTCCACCGCAGTACGGTACCTCGTCGTGGACCCTCAAGAACGCGCCCGACAGGCTGCCACACTACAGCTCGATACCAAACTACTCCGGCAGCTTGAACGTGCCATCCTGCCCATCAGCCCATTCATGACCGAGATCAAGCGCCTCGGCGCGGTCAGCCGCCCGGGCCCCGACGCAGCTGTCCACCTCAAATGGGACCCTGGCATCAATGAGCTCGCCGCCATCGTCGACGCCCACAGCGATGGTCGAGCGGAACCACGCACTGTGACATTCCGGCTGCACTCCACGAGTACACCTCGATACCTGCACCCACTGCACCCTTTCTACGAGCCGTTGTCTCATCCATCGTGGTTCCTCGGTGGAGGACGCGGCTGGAGCCCAGATGCAGTAGTCAACGACGCCCACATCAGTCAGATGTGGTGGTACCGGCAGTGCCTGCTTCGCCGCAGTCACATGCACGCGTGCGGACGACTATCAACGAATGGCTCGTCAACATGCACTGCCGGATGGACGACGAACGCCTCAGCTTACTTCGCCGAGAACAACCGACGACGCGAGCGTCCCAGCGTGAGCTCTGCGAGACTCTGGCCAACAATTCTGGTCAACCTGCCGTGGGCGTCCGGGTGGTTCTCCCTTCCAGCGTCCCCGGTTCCCCTCGCCACCTTCGACGACTTCGCATTGATTGCTTGGAACTCGCTCGCCGGAAAGGACCCCCCCACGTTTTTCATCGCACTCACATGCAATCCGTATTGGCCCGAGATACAGGCCGCCCTTCTCCCAGGGCAATCGGCTGCTGACCGACCGGACGTTGTGGTACGAGTCTTCCACGCAAGACTCCTGGACATGATCGCGTTCTTGAAAACCGATTTCTGCGGACGCCGACGGTGCATCATCCGCGTGATAGAATGCCAGATGCGCGGGTTGCCTCACGCGCATATCGCCCTTGCCGTGGAGAACCCACCGTCCAGCGCAGAAGAGATTGACGCACTGATTTCGTGCGAGGTCCCTGCAGAACCAGGACCACTGCGTGACTGCGTTCTTCGTCACATGATTCATCGGTGCACTTCTGCCTGCCACCCCCACGACCCCGATCAGGAATGCATCAAAGGCTGTCCGTGGCCGTTCCTGGACTCCACCGAGATCGACGCGCGAGGCTACCCGCATCGTCGCTGGCGCCCGTGCAAAGGTACTTGCCCGAACTGCCAGTCCAATGGCCCCGCTTACGGCCGCCGCAACGTCTGCTGCAACCGGCTCGTCGTCGAGTACTCTCCTCGGGTGTTGCTGAAGTGGGACGGCCATGCGAATGTCAAGTTCGCCGGGTCTGTGAATTTGTTCGAGTACCTGTTCAAATACCTCTTCAAGGGACCAGACCACACGTTGTACACTGTAGGTCCGACGACCAGCACGTGGACGAAATGACTGATTGGCTCCGCGGGCGATACCTCGTGGCCACCGAGTGTGCATGGATAATCTTCGGTTACACCACCTACGACCGCGTCCCGACGGTTTTATGCTTGCCCGCCCACCTGCCCGGTGAGAACTGGGCGGCGTTCTCCGAGGGCTTCGAAGCTGACGCGCTGGACCAGAGCACGTCGCAGCTCCAGCGATACTTCTACCGCCCCATGCACGAACCGTTCCTGAGCTGCAAGTACCACGAATATTTCGAGCGTTTCATTGTCGGCAAGGTTTGCCCTGCGAGCTTCAAATGCTTCTTCCCGGAGACGTTCGGCATTCACCTCACCGTGCCGCCTGAGAGCGAATGGCCAGTTCTGTCCCAACGGTGGCACCGCATCCCCAAGGACGTGGCTGTCCGACCCTGCGTCGACATGGCGCCTGGCGGTCGCCGAAACTACGTCTACGTCCGAACCCGCGG